CGTGTCTCTCTGGCCGTGCCTGGGGCTGGGCTACTCTGGCTGTGCCTGGGGCCAGGCCACTCCAGCTCGGCTGCACCTGGGTCTGAGCCACAGCGCCCCGGCCACATCTGGGTTGGCCATGGCAGGTCCGGGCCGCAGCTGAGTTGGGGCTGGCAGAGTGGTGCCCCGGCCACAGTAGGTCTGGGCTGCCCTGGCTGCAGCAGGTTGGGGGCCAGGCTAGCTTGGGGCCAGGGGAGAGAGCACCCCTCCTGTAGCCGGTCCCCGTTTGGTTCCCTGAGCCCCTGCATGGTGCTAAATAGGCTGTGCAGCTTACAGGGAACTTAGGTGTTGTCTGTACTATGATACTGATTCTGTGATTTTTGTGAGTAAGGAAGGGGAGTGGAACCCATGCCTAGGGGATTATTTAGGTGATCTGACTGGCAAGATACCACCAGATGAACACATTGTGGAATCTGTATCTGCACGGCCTAAAACATACAGATACACACTCGCCGGAGGTAAGTCCTGTACACAAGTAAAAGGGAGCACACTGAACTTGGGGCATATTGGGAAAATTAATTTGGGGAGTTTAAAGCTCTCATCCAGGGCTACTGTTTGAACCCTGAAGGGGAGGACCTAAAAGAGCTTGTGATACAGCAGCATGGGATTCTGGGGGTGAAAAAATACTGGTTGATAGAGACAAGAATTCTTTAAAATACCCAGAAAGTCATTTACGATAAAAGAACCCTGAAGGCAGATTTACAACCTTGCCATATTGATGTAAGATACCCCCATATTTCCCCCCTCTTCCACCCAGGCTAGGAGGTAAACTCTGCAGATGAACTTCTGAACTCTTGGGGCTGCACTGACCAAGGCATTGATTATTATGCAGAATCACATCTAATTTGTCCATCCTTTTACCTTTTTGCTTTGTGGCCCTTCAAAAAATTGTTAGAAAATAGTAATAGGCAGTTTTGCATGCCTGAAATACTGTGAGGTATTAAGAGTTGTTGGCAACAGTTGTATAAAGAGTTGTTACATGTATTTCCATATATCACATTTTTGTAAGGTTTACCGGATACTTTTAAGAATGAATGCTTATTTCCTAGTGTAACCCTTCTGCCTGTTAGAGTTAGCAGCAACAAGGGCCAGGTTCAGTATCTAGGGGTTCCATTTTAATAACACAATGCAAAACCAGCTCAAGCCCCCACCCAGTGACCGGGGACAATTACATACCACCCCCGTGGGCGCCTCTAAGAGTCAATACTTCCCCTCTTGCAAGCACAGAGTCTGAGTGTAGCAAAAGCCTTTTAATAAAGAAAGGAAGCAATGCGGCATTCTGTTGGGGAAACATCACAAACAGGATTCATAACACAAACCATGAGCAAAAGACCCTCCCCCAAGTAAGTTTGGCAGTGTCCTTTTCCGATCAGGGTCTTAAGTCCAGCAACCCAACAGTCACCCCACCCACAGTTTCTGTCCTTGGTCAGTGTAGCCCCAAGAGTTCAGAAGTTCATCTGCAGAGTTTACCTCCTAGCCTGGGTGGAAGAGGGGGGGAAGTATGGGGGCATCTTACATGCTCTGCTGCTCGGGTCGAGAGCCAATTGCCATGCCTCTCTGTGGGGTTGTGCTGCAGTCTTTACCGCCAGCTGTGCCTCTCTGCCAGCTGTCCTCCTGGACGCTCCTCTCCACTAGCCATCCTGCTAGCTGCTCACCAATATGTCTTCACCCCCCCCCCACCCCCCCAACTTAACACAGAACTCAGTGATTTCAGCTCTTAGTAACTTCAGCTCTTTAACAACAAGGAGTCCGGTGGCACCTTAAAGACTAACAGATTTATTTGGGCATAAGCTTTCATGGGCTAGAACCACTTAATTAGATGCATGGAGTGAAAATTACAGATGTAGGCATTATTATACTTTCATTCCATGCATCCAATGAAGTGGATTCTAACCCACAAAAGCTTATGCGCAAATAAATCTGTTAGTCTTTAAGGTGCCACCGGACTCCTTGTTCTTTTTGTGGATACAGACTAACACAGCTACCCCCTGATATTCAGCTCTTTAGTGATTTCAGCTGGTAACAGGAGGGCCCCAGGCTGGCACACTTAGAACCCCTAGCCCAAAGTAGGTCTAACACTTAGACCTAGGAATCAGTAATTTCAGCTCTGCAGCATATAACAAGACTCCCAATAGAGTCAAAATTAGCTCTGCTATTACACAGTAGAAAGAGGAGGGGTTCAAAGTGATGTTTAAGACCCTAGACACAGACCCAACCTCTCTCAGTTCACTGGGCTTTGGAACTCATGTCCCTTGCCTAGCAAGTTCTAGGTGGTTGAGGGCAAGTCCATCCGTCATAAAATGCCAAGTACAGTTCTATTGTCCTTGATTCACATAACCAGGATAACAACACTTTATTACTCCTGCCCCAATAACAAAGAGACTGGGGATCCCACAGCAGCCAAAGTGACCATTTGGGCAAGCAGTCCCATCATGCTAGGCATGGTGGGTGTGCCCATGCAAACAAGATCAGCCCCTGAAGTCCTTTTCTACAACTCACCACCAGATGTCAGGGTAGAGCTCATTCTGACTCTGCTTACACTAGTAATGATGAAGTGAGCTGTAGCTCACGAAAGCTCATGCTCTAAGGTGCCACAAGTACTCCTTTTCTTTTTGCGAATACAGACTAACACGGCTGTTCCTCTGAAACTAGTAATAAAGTGAACACAGTGATTATAGATGTCCTGTTGGAATCTGCTTCCGAAAGCAATGAAATCAAGAAAGCCTTTGCAAAATACATAAGCCACAGGAACCTGAATATTATGTACATTGTGCAAAATGTGTTTTTCCAGGAAAAAGAGAGCTGTACAATTAATTGAAATATAAAATACATGGTTTTCTTAAAAACCCACTAAATAAACAGCAAATTGCCATGTTGGCATGTCAAATGTACCCTGAGTAAGACACATTCTTTTCGGAGGCTTTTAAGGATGCTACTAAAAAACCCTAAGGGGACCTATTGGTGGATTTAAATGCTTCAACTGTCAAATCCTACAGTTTGAAAATAGGCCTTCACCCTCCCGAGTAGCCCTGTGTAAACATTTTGAAACAGCACATAAAAAGTCATATTTTTTACCAAGCCCCGACCATTTTAAGAACGGCCATATGCCTTACAAGTATGTTTAGCCATGTGCGGAGAAAGCTGGCACTTTTAAAACTGCTTATCAAAGCCAGACTGTCAATCTTCAAACTCACACCATGAAAGACAGGTCTGGTCCTGCTGAAACGTGTTTGGGGCCCCTCTGGACATGCCTGGCTTTTTCCCTTTTGCAAACTCCACCACCCTGTGGTCATTTTCGGGTAAGTCATCTGTATCCAATTTTAAAATCTGATCAATTTCTTTAAAAATATATACACAATGACAAACACCAGTTACCATGGGGGGGTCTTGTAGGTGTTTCTGGTGAAACACAATATTATCAGAGTTATAATTCTAAAAAAAGTCATGGTAGTTTTAGGAAAGAAGCTACTGTCTGGGGAAAATCCATAGGAGTCAAAAAAACTTGCCTGGCCTGTGTTTTGGTACATAGAGAGCCAGCTAGTGTTCCCCTGGTAAGTTGTGAGTATGTGTGTTCATAGGCGCCACGGGGAAAAATTAGTGGGTGCTCTGCACCCACCGGCAGCCAAGCTTCCCGCCCCGCCCTCCGTCCCACCTCACCTCCTACTCCTTCACCTCCTCCCCTGAGCGCGCTGTGTCCCAGCTCCTCCACCTGCGTCCCAGCACTTGCTGCCGCCAAACAGCTGTAGCAAGCTCCGGGAGGGAGTGGGGAGAAGCGGGGACACAGCGCGCTCAGGGGAGGAGGTGGGGAAGAGGTGGGGCCGGGGCGGGGATTTGGGGAAGGAGTCGAATAGGGGCAGGAAAGGGGAGGAGTTGGGGCAGGAACTTTGGGGAAGGGGTTGGAATGGGGGCGGGAGGGGCCGGGGGCAGAGGGGGGTTGAGCAGAAGTTGGCACCTATGTGTGTGTTAACATATGTGTGCATTAACAATCAGCCCCATGGGTCTGGTGGCCATAGAACACTTCAGGAGTAGGTTTCTAGGAAAAACATCTAAAAATGAAGCATCCTTTGGTAAAATATGTGCTAACTGCACAGTGTTCATAATCACATATACAGTCGAACATCAAAAATACAAACACCAGAGTTATGGACTGACCAGTCAACCGAACACCAAGTGAAACTGGAAGTAACCAATCAAGCAGCAGCAGAGACATCCCCCCCCCACTCCCAAAAGCAAATACTGTACTGTGCCTGTATTTCATCTTAAAGGTAGGCACATCTACCTTTGTAGATAGGGATAGGCTGCCTGTCCCCACCCGTGATCCCCATCCCCACTCATGGGGCAGCCACGTACAGTAAGACGCTGGAGCCGGAGCCAGCTAGCGGAGCTGGGGTCTGTACGACTTTCACCCCTCCCATTCCAGGATGGACACATCACACACACACACACGCACGCACACGCACACACACACACACACACGATTTTCAGTCATCAAGTTAAGACCCTGCAGCAGTTTGTAGCCTGAGGCCATAAATATATTTAGGATCCGTGCCACATGCAACGTAGAATTAATGCATATCATCTGGTTTAATGTTTCTACTTGCCCCTACAACATACAATCATGGTGGTGTTGACTGGGTTTGTCTAGCACACAGGCTTCACGGTTATCAAAGAGCTGACCCTTCCAACAGTGGAAAATGGTTTTTACTATAACAGCCCTATGTAACGTCATCTTTAAAGATCTGTTGGCCAGACTCCTTACTTTTTACAGTCTTTTTTCCAAAGACTTGCTTCATGCAAAACCAGCACATGAATATGAGGTTTATTCTTCTCAAAGGCTGATTCTCTTTGTCTGCTTCATCCTCTGAAGATGTCTGTCAAAAGCAAAGAAAAAAAATAGGTTTCAACTTTTTTGTTGTGGCAATTTAAAAGTAAAACAGGCAAAAAAATGTCACTCATGTTACCTCTACCACTCTGTTGTCTGTTTCTGAATTATCATCATCCCCAGAAGCCCTGCTGCTGGGCACAGCCTGGGTCTTCATATTATCTGTCTTCGATTCCTGTTATTAAAAACAAACATATACATGTATTTAAACCCTTATAATTATAAATCAATTACTTTTTAAAAATGCTCTAAGCTGTTTTACCTCATCATGCACTTCTGGCTTAGGTAGTTTTGCATCTGGAGGCAATTCGCTACACACTCAAGCCATGGTCCTGTGTGGACCTGGTTTGGTTATCTGTCAAAAAACAAAAAAGCACATTTTAAACTCATAGTTGTAATAATTTTTTGAGAACCTTAAAAAAAAACTTGGTTGTGTTACCGTAATAACATCACCATCTGCCCATGAATCATCGGTTACTGCTTTCCTATCCTCTCACAATCTCACCACTACCATGTGCATGTATATAAGCTCTTCTTCTTTCCTCTCCTATAAAAAATATAAATATATTTAACCTCTTATAATTTTGCAACAATTTGTTATACTATAATATAGAATGCCTTACCTCTCTCCCTGACACTGCCTGTTCCATAGCTGGCAACAGATCTCTCCGCACCCTGTCCTGAAGTACTTTTACATCTTTTTCCCCATTTACAACTAGTGATGGCCCCATGGAATCTCCCTGTTTCTTCAGGTCAATATCTGGATGGAACATGGAGTTCAGTATTGGTGATGTCTCTTCAGCAAAATAAGTGTGAATGGGTTGTCTCTTCTGAACACATGCTAGTGCATCCAAAGGCAATTCAGGCTTCTTGGAGGCTGTAGGTGTCTTGTAAAAGGCCATGATCACAACCTATAAGCTCCCAGCTTAAAAGCTCTTGCAAAAAAGTATGTTTTTAAAAATGGTTCAGGAAAATGCAATTCTAGGACATGTCTAAAGAATAGCTTCTGATTGGCTCAGGCAAGAGGTGTGGCTTGTCCAAGGCTGACTTTCCTGGAATTACTGGCATTTGGCTAGTGGCAGCTGAAGGCATAAGCTACTTTTCACTTCTTTCTGCCGCTTGGTCAGTGACACAGGCTTTTCTTCCTCTCCTGTTTTAAAACTTTCTCTGCAGCCTCTCTCCTTTCTCTCTCTCTCTCTCTCTCTCTTATTGTAATAGGCTGAAAGGCTTTTGGTTTTCTCAGCTGTCCTACAGCCTCTCTTACTTTGTGTCTTGTTTAATCCAACCCCACTTTATTTTCTCTACAAACACATGTTCTGTTACTAATATTTAATGCCTTTATTTCAAAAACATACCATTATTTTTCAGACTTTATTTCAAAACAAGCTAAATCCATAACAATTATTATTTCTAAAAATACATGTTTTATTACTAATATTTAATGTCTTTATTTCAAAAACTGCATAAAAAGTATTTTATCTGTAAAAAGGCCTATTAACATATTTATGTCTTAACACTTTATTCCTCTGTTTACTAAACTTTATTTAAAGTGTGTAAAAAGCCCATTTTCTTCTGAAAAAAAAATTTTTTTCTTCTAACCTTTAAAATGTTTCTAAATATGAAAAAACCCACACTCAAGCAGTTCTAATGTTCTCTATAAAAAATAAAAAAAGCTTCAAAATGGCCACTGCATCAAATGTGTATATGTCCAAAAATGAGACCAGAGGGTGAGACATAACCCAAAAAGCGGACATGGAAACCTGTCAGAATGTATATGGTGATGAAAGGTATAGAGGTCTCTACTACTTATCTGGCACCACAACAGACCTCCTAGCTTGCAAGGACCAGTTTCAGAAAAAGTCCTGGTCAGCCCCAGTAACCCATAGGATACAACATGCTCAGTCGCTATGTCGGACTATCACCTGTGCAGCACATTAGGAGCTTTGTGGGGATAGAGTATGCTCAGTATAGATAGAATCTTTGGCAAATAATGCTCCCAAACTCTAACAAACCCCTGAGGCCTGGTCTACATTACAAAGTTAGGTTGACTTAATTACATTGCTCAGAACTGTGAAAAATTTTGTCCTGTGAAACGTAGTTAAACCGACTTAATCCCAGTGTAGACACCACTAGATTGATGGAAGAATTCTTCTGTTGACCAAGCTACAGCCTCTTGGACAGGTGGATTTACTATAGCAACGGAAGACACCCTTCTGTCTCTACAGTACATGTCTACACTACCGCTGCATCTGTGCCACTGTAGTGTTTCTAGTGTAGACATACCCCCAGTGTGTGCAAACTGCTTTTTTTCCAGAGGCTTATAACTTGACCAAGTTTTGGCAGATTTTATAGGGATGACAGAAGGCACACCTCTGATACCAGGGTGACTCCCTCTGTCAAATTTAAAATTCCTGTTCTACAGCATTCAGGGACTTGAGCTTCTCAACAAAACATCAAAAAGAATTTTTTTATTAACATTTATATGAATCTAACATGAACATCACCAAGAATTTTTTAACCTTGTTCTAGGGAAGGGCTGACTGGGTTTGGCTGAAACAAAAACAAAACAAAACAAAACAAAAACAAAAACAAACTTAGCCTAAGCCAGATACCAACATGGAAAAGTTTGATCCAAACAGTTAAAGTTTGGCAAAGTTATTAACAACTTAAGAAGGTCTTATAATGGAGAGTGCAGTGTTAACCAACCCTAACTATAGATGGTGCTACTGGCTTTGCCTATATTTATTATGTTACCTTTAGAATCACATTTGAAGTTGGGCTAAAAATGTGAGGCTTCGCATTATGGATATAGAAATGTCTCCCAAACAAAAATAACTAAAATGGATAAATCGTATGAACAGCTTGCGCCAGGGCATCACAAAGCTACTCCTACAGAGGAGCCAGCCAGAGTCTCTACCTGATAGGACTAGAAGCAGCCAAAGCAGGGATTGCTGCTCTGTGAGGAAGGGGTAAAATGGGCCCAGCCGGTGCCATCCATCCCCAAAACACCCTCCTGGACTCAGAACTGTGCAGGGAGACCTCCCTTTCCACTGTGGGGGCACTAGGACCCAGGCAGTGCCTCCCTTCCCCAGCACCATGTGAGCTGCAAAGAGGGGTCAACCAAAGACTCTGTCCTGTAGGGGCAGTAGCAGCCAAAGCAGAGACTTTTGGTCCCCTGGACATTCCAGTCAAAACTGCAGAATGTTCTGACTTTCTCTGTCCTGTGCTGATTGGCTGTTTGCTCCAGCCCTCCCCTTGGGTCTGTTCACCTCAGCTTCACTCCACATCTTTCCCTCTTACTCTCCCCTCCCTTTCCTTTCAGCTGACCCCTTCTGAAGTAAAATCACCCCATCCCCCTAAAAATCATGGAAGTGACATGATTTTTGCTGCCATCACATTGCTCACTCTGCTTGTGTGTTATACCCTTCTCCCATTCTGGGTCTGCCTTGTCTGTTTAAATACTATTGTCTTATTGTTTCTTTGTACTCCACCATCAGTCAGTATCCATCTGTTTTCTCTTGTCTTACACTTAGACTTTAAGTGCTTTCGGACAGGATCTGTCTTTTTGTTCTATATGTACAGAGCATAGCACAATGGCACGACAGTAATACAAATAAATAATAATAACATTCCTGATGCTTCTCCAGCTCCTCATGTATCTGGATGTTTTCTAAAAATTCCTTTTGCAAAACCTTTTGAAAATTACACTGCTTGAAACTCCAACGGACCCTTCACCCGTCTGCTTCTGCAACTTCATATGAAAATTCGAATTTAGAGAGGGTTTGGGGTTTTTTTAAATCTCAATTATTGTTGTAACTCCAGAGTAACTCTACTGACTTAAACTGAGCTAATCTCAATTTACACCAAGGTAACTGAATTCAGAATCTGACCCTTTAGAAAGGAAAAGTGTTTTGCCATACACAGATGTTCCACTATCCAGCACTGTTCAAGAAATGGTGCAATTGTTCTGATCCCTTAAAAATATTCAAAATTTGTACAGATCATGAGAAAAAAACAATAAAACTTAAGACCAATATTTTCAGAAGTGTTCACTGATCCTGGGTGCCTCTATAATGTGGAATCCAACTTGAGACATCTTATACCTGATTTTCAGAGGTGATAAGAAATCAAGCACAAAGGGCTAGATTCACAAAGGGATGCCTAAATCCAACATTTAGGCACCACTGAGATCCTCAACCCCCCTGCTCAGCTGCCACCTAAACTTGGAGGCACCTAAATTCCCTAGGTGTCACTGTTTCTGTGATAAAGTCCCCTAGGTGCCTAAACTTCCACAGGTGGTTCTCAGAATATGCTTACTGGTTCAGGCCCCACACTAAAGATGGCTTGAGGCAGCCAGAGCAGGAATATTGACAACAAAGTGTGTGTCCCAGAATATCCAAAAGCTCAGGTTTACGGCGCTCACCCAGGACATGGGAGACCTGTTTTCAAATCCCTGCTCTGTCTGGTTTGGAGCAGGGACTTAATGGGTCCCTGGGACCCACCCAGGTGAGTGCCCTAACCACCAGGCTCCTGGGGGTAGATCTCTCACCTCTGTTGCAGCTGTTCCACTTTGTGTTAAAGAGTTAAAATATTCATTGGGCCAAAGAGAAAGAGACTGACTCAATATCCAGATGGCTAGGGCACTCAGGTGGGCCATGGGAGACTTAAGTCCTTGCTCCAATTAATTATTTAATTATTTATACAAAGTGGAACAGCTTGAACAGGAGAGACTGAGAATAACCTGGTGGCTAGGGCCTGGGGATATAGGGGACCCAAGTTCAAGTCTCTGCTCCAAATCAGGTAAAGCAAGTATTTGAAAACAGGTTTCCTACAGGTGAGTACTCTAACCACCAGGCTATTGGCTATGATAGCAAGGAAATCTCTCTCTGTTTATTCTTGAGAAAGAGATGGCCTGGCTTAGGTGCCTATCTCCAGGAGAGGGTTCTTGGCTGTGAATCCTGAGCAGAGGTAGGCACCCAAAGACCTATGTGATGTCTAACACTGATTAGGCCTAACCCCTCTCCTCAGCATTTTCTACTGGCTATCTGAAGTAGCTACCCACTCAGCTTGCTGGCTGCTGTGAACCCCATTCTTAAGCACCTAACTCTCCCCATACACAGTGTAGGGAGCCTGCACCCCTCATGCAGGGCAAGAAGTCCACTAGCCAGCAAGTTACCTAAAAGTTAGGCACTGCACCACGGAGCTTTGCAGTGCCTAAGTCTTTGTGGATCTAGCCCAAGGTACCTCACATTAAGCATCCAAAAACTGGGACACCAAGCATTTGTGAACACTTTTGAAAAATTTGGCTGTGAGGGTTTTTTGTTGTTTTTCTTTTTTTAACTCTAGTCACTGAGATTGTTTTGTAGATTTCAACCTTGATTTAGGCTTGGCTGTGTAGATATTAGCATAAGCTTTGATTAATAAAAAAACAAGACTGTTCCTATTTGTAAAGCCTTACCTTGATCATACAGTCGCTGTGATTGTGTCCAAGACACTTGTTCTCTTGGTTTTTCTCAGCTGGGTTGAAGTGAGGTGATTAGGGATAAGTAGAAGTCGAGAATGGGGGACGAAAGAGCAAGCCCAAGTAGAAAGGTATATCAAGTGATTTTGGATGTTAAAAATAAAACCAGCACACTGAGCAATGTGACCACATGGCTCAGCTTACAGAGCTGTCCTTCCACTGTATTTATTAACAGTGTCATTGCTGGAGTGATATTTAATGAAGAAAACAGGAGAAGAGCTGACTCATTTCTTCAGTACCGGGTGCTTAGAGAAATGGACAATAACTTTCTCGGAGTTTCCTAAAATACTGTACTGTAACTGTTTCATGTTTCCTGGAATTCTTCAATGAAGATCCCTACTCCTACACCTTTTGAACTTGAATTCTTACTGCCCATATGATACTGTGCCTTTTACTGGCCTAGTTATCACTATATCCTCTCATCCTATTGCCGTGAACTCCAGTAATAGACAGTAAAGGGCTTGTCTACACTACACAGTTTTGTCGACGCAAGTTACGCCGACAATCAAAAACCGGTATAATTACATCCCTTATGCATGTTCACACAATGCTCCTTCTGTCAGCAGAGCACGTCCACTGTTGGTACTCCAGCATCGACAGTGAGCGCAGTGCATTGTGGGTAGCTATTCCAGAGTGCTACTCGCCACCTTCTGCCACTAGGAGTTGTGGGAAGGCAGAGTGGATGACAGTGCATCATGGGTGCAGGATCAATGTCCCATGATGCAGTTTTTTCCATCCCATCATTCCATGGGCTTCCGACTACATTTCATGGCATTTTTCAGCAAGCCATCTCTGTCTGAAAGGATGGCTCCCGCACGGCTCTCTATTGTGGTCTCTGTTATGAACACATTGTGGATCGTTGTGCAGTATATCATGAACTCCCAATCTGCACAGGAATCAGAGTTGCCTGCTCTGCTGTGAGTCATGGAAAGAAACAACACTAGATTACTTCTGGTATTCACAGAGCAACTGAACATGGTGGATTGTCAGTTCTGGGCTCAGGAAACAAGCACTAAGTGGTAGGATCACATTGTTATCCAGGTCTGGGATGACAAGGAGTGGCTACAGAACTTTCAGATGTGGAAAGCCACCTTCCTGGAACTGTGTACGGAGTTTGCCCCAGCACTGTGATGCAAGGACACCAAAATGAGAGCTGCCCTTTCAGTGGAGAAGCGCATGGCGATTGTAGTGTGGAACCTGTGACTCAAGACTGCTACCGGTTGGTCACAAATCAATTTGGAGTCCAGAAGTCCATGGCTGGGGCTGCGTTAACACAAGTGTGCAGGGGCATTAATTGCATCCTGCTATGAAGAACTGTGACTTTTGTCAATGTGCATGAAATAGTGGATGACTTTGTGGCAATGGGATTCCCTAACTGCAGAGGGGCAATAGATGACACGCATATTCCAATTTTGGCCCTGGACCATCTTGCAACAGAGTACACCATTAGAAAAGGGTACTACTCCATGGTATTGCAGGTACTTGTGGATCACCGTGGGTGTTTCACTGACACCAATGCAGGGTGATCCAGGAAGGAGCATATGACACTCATTTTCAGGAACTCTGGCCTATACAAAAAGCTGCAAGCAGGGACTTTCTTTCCAGACCAGAAGATTTCAGTGGGGGCTGAAATCCTCATAGTGATCCTGGGAGACCCAGTATACCCCTTACTCCCATGGCTCATGAAACCTTACATGGGAAACCTGGACAGAAGCAAGGAATACTTCAACAATAGGCTGAGCAGGTGCAGAATGACCACAGGATGTGCTTTTGGCAGATTAAAAACATGCTGGCACTGCCTTTATGGCAGGTTAGGACTAAATGAGGAAAATATTCTCATGGTCATAGCAGCCTGCTGTGCACTCCATAATATTTGTGAGGCTCAGGGTGAAAAGTTTCCCCCAGGGTGGAGCTCGGAGATGGATCACCTGGCAGCTGATTTTGAGCAACCAGATACCAGGGCTATTAAAGAGGCACAGTGGGGGCCTATTTGAATCAGGGAAGCTTTGAGGCAACATTTTGACAATGAGCACCAGGAATGTGCCATGCTTTGTTAACTTGCCACCTTGCAAGAAAATTGTGATTATTCCTGACTGGGATTTGTAGCCAGCAAATGATCAAATTGCCACTATGTATTACTACCAGCAGCAACCACCATTTGTAGGAGACAAATAAGTTGGTTATCTTTCAGAGAGTTTGTTTTTATTCAGTTCCAATTAACAAAACATACAAAAGGCTTGGTAGGAAGGGAGATAAGAGTGCAGGGCAGTGTAGGCTCTCATGGCTGTGTGTAAGTTTAGCTATCATTTTGGAAACTATCCAAAGGATTGGAGTGAATGGGGTACCGAGACATTCCAGGAAGTTGCAAGGAATATGTGGGAGGAGTTTGGGGAGAGAATGTAAAGCAGTTCTGTATTGACTGAGGTGGGGGGAATACGAGCAGGTATGTGTTCTGCCTGGAGCATAATTAGGGACTTCAGCTTCTGTGCATCCACTCCTGGTCCTTTACAACAGAGATTCTCAACCTTTTTCTTTTTGAGGCCCCCCCAGCATGCTATAAAAGCTTCATGGCCCACCTGTGTCACAACTACTGTTTTTCTGCATATAAAAGTCAGGGCCAGGGTTAAGGAGTAGTAAGTACGGCAATTGCCCAGGCTCCATGCCACGGGGGCTCCGAGAAGCTAAGTTGCTCAGGCTTTGGCTTCAGCCCCAGGTGGCGGGGCTTGGGACTCTGGGCTTCAGCCTCATGTGGTGAGGCTTTGGCTTTCTGCCCTGGGCCCCAGCAACTCTAATGCCGGCCCTGCTCACGGCCCCCCAGGGGGCTGCAGACCCACCATTGCTTTATTATGCACTCCTTACTCTCCTTTCTGCCCTGCCTGTCTATTTTAAATTTTTCCTTCTGGGTCTCTCTCCACTCCATGTTCTCTTTTTTCAGCCTCTGAGAATTCATAGAATCATAGAATATCAGGGTTGGAAGGGACCCTTGAAGGTCATCTAGTCCAACCCCTTGCTCGAAGCAGGACCAATTCCCAGTTAAATCATCTCAGCCAGGGCTTTGTCAAGCCTGACCTTAAAAACCTCTAAGGAAGGAGATTCTACCACCTCCCTAGGTAACGCATTCCAGTGTTTCACCACCCTCTTAGTGAAAAAGTTTTTCCTAATATCCAATCTAAACCTCCCCCACTGCAACTTGAGACCATTACTCCTCGTTCTGTCATCTGTTACCATTGAGAACAGTCTAGAGCCATCCTCTTTGGAACCCCCTTTCAGGTAGTTGAAAGCAGCTATCAAATCCCCCCTCATTCTTCTCTTCTGCAGGCTAAACAATCCCAGCTCCCTCAGCCTCTCCTCATAAGTCATGTGTTCTAGACCCCTAATCATTTTTGTTGCCCTTCGCTGGACTCTCTCCAATTTATCCACATCCTTCTTGTAGTGTGGGGCCCCAAAACTGGACACAGTACTCCAGATGAGGCCTCACCAATGTCAAATAGAGGGGAACGATCACGTCCCTCGATCTGCTCGCTATGCCCCTACTTATACATCCCAAAATGCCATTGGCCTTCTTGGCAACAAGGGCACACTGCTGACTCATATCCAGCTTCTCGTCCACTGTCACCCCTAGGTCCTTTTCCGCAGAACTGCTGCCTAGCCATTCGGTCCCTAGTCTGTAGCGGTGCATTGGGTTCTTCCGTCCTAAGTGCAGGACCCTGCACTTATCCTTATTGAACCTCATCAGATTTCTTTTGGCCCAATCCTCCAATTTGTCTAGGTCCTTCTGTATCCTATCTACCACTCCTCCCAGTTTAGTATCATCCGCAAATTTGCTGAGAGTGCAATCCACACCATCCTCCAGATCATTTATGAAGATATTGAACAATTGGAACACCTCTCGGAACATGTCCTTCTTGCTCCACCTTGGTTGCTTCCTTATCTGGCAGAGGTGCTCTGCGAGTGTTTAGGGGGTTCCCCCAAAGGCCACAGCTGCAGAATTGCAAGAAACAATCAACAGAAGCATGATTGTTAGTTCACCCACAGCATTGAATCATTAAAGTAAAATATACCTTTTCTGACATACAAATCACTTTCTCACTGTCCTTTGGCGAGCACACATCTTGGCGAACACCCTAAACATGGGGAGTTCAGCCCCAGGGGGAGGATGGTTGTGTGCTCAAGATGGGGCAAAGTGTCTAGGGTTTTTTTTTTAAGGGGATCAGTGAAGGCAATTAAGGACAATAATAGAAATTCCTCCACCATTTTCCACAAGTGGGGGGTCATTGAAGCTGATTTATCACTCCTGAGGGAAAACAAGGATGCAAGGGTGCATCTCCTGCATGAATGTAGCTTCTGACCTGGTCCCTATGCTGCTCACCTGTGTGCAGTTTGCATAAGTGATTGCCAATTGGCACAGGAAAGTTTCCTACAATGGGTGAAGGAACAAAGCAGCTCTGCCAAGGACCCTTCAGCAGAGGATTTGTGAGTACCTCCAGGAAAGTTTCGTAGAGCTCTCTCTGGAGGACTCCTGTTAGGGGGCTTATTCCTTCACCTACTTATTTCTCTGGTCCTTCTCGTATGAAGAGAGAGCAACAATACCCGAAGTCCAAAGGTGCAAACAATTCGATGTTTATGGGGGTGAACTTCCAGCAAGCATGATTCCAGTTTCCTTCCTTAGTGTCCCCCTTCCCAGCTCTGACACCACAGAGCCTTACCTGTGTCCCTGTTCCCATTCCCCCCCCTTAGCAAAACATGATTCCAATTTCCCCACCCCCATTCCCTGTTCCCATTCCCATCCCCACTCACTCCCTTCCTGATTGACTGCAGACTATATAGTAAAACTTGAGTTCTGCTTAGCTATACCTTAACCAATCATTTTACTGAAATTTAACTAACCAATCCTTACATATTGTAACATTATTATTTAAGCAATTATATCCCACCACCTTAATTGGTTTACACCTAGCAAAATTAATTATACAGCAGACAGGAACAATCACAGAACCAGACAGAGATTA